GGCAAGACGGCCATCGTCTCCCGCTTCCTCACCGGCCGCTTCGAGGAGCAATACACGCCCACCATCGAGGACTTCCACCGCAAGTTCTACAGCATCCGTGGTGAAGTCTACCAGCTCGACATCCTGGACACGTCGGGCAACCACCCCTTCCCAGCCATGCGCCGCCTCTCCATCCTCACAGGTACTTGGCTGGAGGAAGTTTTGGGGAGGGGTCCCTTGCCACATTTCAGGTGTTCTTGGCCAGTTTGGGGATGTTTCTCCAGTCCTGGGAGGAGGGAGGTGGGATTTTGTGTGTTGATGGGGTGGATGGGAGGATGTGGGATAGAGGTCCTGCCTGGTCCTTCCCTCCCTGGGTCTCTGTGTGCGTCCCCGTCCCTGCAGCCTTCTCATGTTCCCTCTTTGTCCCCAGGAGATGTGTTCATCCTTGTCTTCAGCCTGGACAACCGAGACTCCTTTGAGGAGGTGCAGCGCCTGAAGCAGCAAATCCTGGAGACCAAGTCGTGCCTGAAGAACAAAACCAAGGAGAACATCGAGGTGCCCCTGGTCATCTGCGGCAACAAGGGCGACCGGGACTTTTACCGAGAGGTGCAGCCCCGGGAGATCGAGCAGCTGGTGGGAGGGGACCCCAAAAAATGCGCCTACTTTGAGATCTCGGCCAAGAAGAACAGCAGCCTGGACCAGATGTTTCAGGCGCTCTTCGCCATGGCCAAACTGCCCAGCGAGATGAGCCCCGACCTGCACCGCAAGGTCTCGGTCCAATACTGCGACATCCTGCACAAGAAGGCTCTGAAAGGCAAAAAGCTGCTGAAAGAGGGGGGCCGGGGCAGCACGGAGGAGGCGTACGGCATCGTGGCCCCCTTCGCCCGGCGACCCAGCGTCCACAGCGACCTCATGTACATCCGGGAGAAAGCCATCGGCGGCGGGCACGGCAAGGAGAAGGACCGCTGCGTGATCAGCTAGGAGCCACGGGAAGAAGGAAGGGAAGAAGGAAGGACAGAAGGAAAGAAGGAAGGAAGGGGGGAAGGATGCTCGTTTCCGAATTGACTTTGGGCGGGCAGGAGGGTGGGCTGGCGCCCGGCCGGGCACAGAGGGGGTCACCTCTTCCCCAGCCTCCCTCCTCCCCAGGGATCGTTTTTACAGCCTCCCTCGCCTCCCTCCCCCGGGGGTGCATTTTGGGAGCGAGGGATGCGAAGGGGGAGGCTCTGGAGGGCAGAAGGGGGGTGCTGCTGGGACCAACATCCCCCAGGCAGACAGGGACAGGGCGAGCTGCGGGCGGCCCGGTGCGAGGATGAGTGTGGAGGGCGCAGACCTCGGCGTTTCTTTCCCTCCCAAACCACCCAGCCTGGGGTGCTGCCTCCAGGAGGGAGCTTTTTTTGTGGGGCTTTGGGCTTGGTTGTTTGTGTTTTGTTGTTGGTTTATTTTATTCTTTCAAACTTGAGAAGCTGTGCACGGACTCTGGCTCTGTGTCGTGTGTTCGTCTGTGTTTGCAAAGAAAACCACATGCAGAAGACACTCCTAAACTGTCACA